CTCGTCTGTGTCTCTGTGTGCAGAAACACAGGGGTGATGTGCTCTCTCGTCTGTGTCTCTGTGTGCAGAAACACAGGGGTGATGTGCTCTCTCGTCTGTGTCTCTGTGTGCAGAAACACAGGGGTGATGTGCTCTCTCTGACATGTCCCTGTGAGCAAAGAGCAGCTTAGGTCCAGACCACAGAACAGTGAGTTACAGTAATCAAAAAAGGAGAATAATTTGCTCTAAGTCAGAGTGTCTTTACTCGCTTGTTTGCAAGTCGATCCTGAAAGACGGCAAAGTGAACAGTAAAAACAACTGCTTTAAATGTAAAATGTATTTAAAATGGTTTCCTGGTCAGGGTCAGGGCTTCCTCAGCAGGAGCCCCACACATCAGCAGAAGGCAAACACTTCTGTTGTTTGCCTTCTGCTGATGTCCTCCTCCTGTCCTTTTATGTTTATACAAATGCTATTGTTGTATTTCAGTTCCATACCTTATACCGGTTTTACAGCCAACGGTATTTTATATCACCCAGCCCTAAGTGGATTTAAGTAATATTTAGACATAATCTCCTGGTAAAATGTCTTTGTTATAGAACAGGCATGTCAAACTCAGGCACGTGGGCCGTATCTGGCCCTCGAATTTTTAGTGGCCTCTGAAATGATTTGCAATTATCACTATTACAGTAACTTGCAGCATTGATGGTAAAGGAAGACTATGGAATGTTACACATAAATTTAAACGGTTATTTTCCTGAGAAAATAACCGTTTCATTCTAAAATTTAAACAAACATGGGATTAGAGGTTAAGTTAGGCCCAAGATTGTGGGTGAATCTAAACCTATTCAAAAAATATCTAAACTCACAAAAATATGTAAAAACAAAAATGAATAAAAGTACTTTTGGCCCCAACCAGCTCTCAGGTTATTAAACATGGGCCAAAAGTGAGTTTGACTGTTGTAGAACTGTTGTAGAATAATCTTTCCACTTTTGCAAAGAAAATGTACAGACGACAAAGTAATCATCAAGGCAGACCAACTGGTCACACACACACATATATATATATATATATATATATATATATATATATATATATATATATATATATATATATATATATATATATATATATACAGATTATACTATGTTTTTTCTTCTCCACCCGGCCCCTGTCATATGAGACGTGTGGTGATCGGGCTCGCCTCAGCCCGGTGAGTGCATCCATTCTTCTCTACCTTTCACACAACAATAGAGCGCTCCATTATTCTTAATTACAGCCCGACCACTATGACCCAAACAGCAGACGACATGAGAAGTCTACCACATGACAGAGCTGCCAGACGATGCATGTGATAGCTGAAACATTTCAGAAATGTTATCCAAATACAGAGATGTAGTGTTCAGAACATTTCAACAAGCAGACGAGGTGAATGTTTCATATTCTCACAACAAAGGACCAAGGCTATTGCAAAAACATAAGATGCTTAACTTTTCAGACAGAACTGAATCCAGAACACCTCCTGGCTTCCCACAATCTTGTCCCTACATTTTCATACATATTCTTCCTTTAGTTTATTTCTGTTATTTACTTGGTGAATGAATGAATGGGATGATGACACTAATACCACAAAATGTGAAGATCATCCCAACAATCCTTTCCACTTTGGATACAGTGTACTCCAACTCTGTGTCCAGGCCTTCTCCACAAAATAACCAACATAACATTTCACCATAAGAGCCAGAGAGAGAGACTAGAGAGAAACCAGACAGATAGACTAGAGAGACCAGCGAGACTAGAGAAAGACCAGAGAGAAACCAGACAGATAGACTGAAGAGACCAGAGAGACTAGAGAAAGACCAGAGAGAAACCAGACAGATAGACTGAAGAGACCAGAGAGACTAGAGAAAGACCAGAGAGAAACCAGACAGATAGACTGAAGAGACCAGAGAGACAGACTAGAGACCAGAGACTAGAGAAAGACCAGAGATAAACCAGAGAGAGATCAGAGAGAAACCAGAGAGACAGACTAGAGAGAAACCAGAGAGAGACTAGAGAGAACCAGAGAGAGAGACTAGAGAGACCAGAGAGAGACCAGAGAGAGACCAGAAAAAGACCAGAGAGAGAAACACCAGAGACAGACCAGAAAAACCAGAGCGAGACCAGAGAGAGCGACCAGAGAGAGACTCAAGAGAGATCAGAGAAACCATCAGACAGCCAAATTAGTCCTTAAATCATGATGCAATGAGCAGTAAAACAATAATACTCAAAATAACTTAATCTTTAACCACACCATAAATAACACACAATACAGATTCTGTTCTCTTCTGGGATTCCTTTTTAACGTTCCCCTTGAAACATGCACAAGTTTAAAGGTTTTTATAAAAAAGACAAAGGAACTCTAAAATCTCCACAAAAAACAACTTTAGTTTAAGAAGGAGCCGTTTTAGTTAACACTGAGGGTGCTGGTGAAATCTCCTGTGCAGCCCATGTGGATTTAGGCTGCACAGCTTGTCCATGTAGTTCAAGTAGCAATGCTCTATCCACATCATATCAAACCTCCATGACTTTATCTAATGCTCGTGCCATTGCCTGTGTGCTCGGTGATGCTCATCTGGCCGTGTACCTGAGTCACGGCCCTCGCTTTCAGCAGACGTCAAATCCACTTCTTTCCACATATTCACTTCAGGGAGGAATGCAGCCTGCTCCAATTAGATCTGAATGAGTCTGGGCTCAGGATGCTTTAGACACACAGACTATGGCTGTGAACCGGGATGGAAAGTACCAGCGCAACAAGAAAGGGCTTGTATTAAACATATCCTGCTACAGATGTAGATATATTTAAAACAAGGAATTTCTTTCACAAAAGGAAAATCCACAAAAGTCAAACATTTGCTAAAAGATTACAATCTATGGATGGGCACAAACCTGGTGCATGCTGAGAAGGTCTTGCACAGTTATTCCAATGTGGTCTTACTGCAAATGGCTAATAAACTGAATCTTGAATTGCTTTGGACAGCTAGCAGATTTCTATCAAGATCGTTATGTCTAGTAAACAAAAGCAAGACAGCCAATAACTGTGCTTCTACAATAGCCCAAAACATACTGTATACTGTCGCTACTTCAAACTGCCTTCTAACATATCCATAACATAACATATCCATCCATATATTGATAACAATCGGCCATCTCTCAGATATAACAGGCAAAACGTTAATTAATCGCATAACTAAGAGAGGGTTAGGTCTTCTAAATGGTTTCTCTGGAAGTGCGATGAAGGACTTAATTAATTAGCGAGGCCTCACTACAACGCGGTTCGCCTTTCGTGACCTCGCAGTTTCGCCGATTTTTTTGTGTCCAATTGTCTCTATCTCTAGAAAAGTTACATAGAGAAGCTTTGAGCGTTAGGATTGATGACTGAGGTCCTGTCCTCAGTAAGTCAAATTCAGGCCTGAACGCAAAAATTAGAGCATGCATTTGTTCAGTTCAATTCGGGTTAGAGTAGGAATATCAGAGCGAGACCAGAGAGAGAGAAACCAGAGAGAGAAACAAAAGACAAGAGAGAGACTAGAGAGAGAGACTAGAGAGAGAGACCATAGAGAGAGACCATAGAGAGAGACCAGAGAGAGAGACCAGAGAGAGACATGAGAGAGACCAGAGAGAGACCAGAGACAAGAGAGAGACTAGAGAGAGAGACCAGAGAGAGAGAGACCTGAGCGAGAGACCAGAGAGACTAGAGAGAGACCAGAGAGAGACCAGAGAGAGTGACTGGAGAGAGACCAGAGAGAGACAAGAGAGACCAGACAGAAACCTGAGAGAGAGACTGGAGAGAGACCAGAGAGAGAGACTAGAGAGAAATCCAGTGTCTCATCCATACAAAGACAGCTCTGTGGGGGCCTGTGAACGCACATGTTTGAAACCAAGTTCTCAAGTTGAAAGATCTCAAAACAACGCTCGGTGGTTACTGTCTTTCCGCAGGTTGCGTCATCACCGCCTCCTGATCAACAAGCGTGCGCCACACTAAAAACATAACAACAACAATGGTATCGTACTGTACGGTGTTGTTTGTGTCCTGCTGAAGCTCGTGAGCCGCTAACGCTAATACAGCAACATCTGAAGTCTGTTTATACATTTCTGCGCAGCTGAGCATGCCCCATAAGTCTTGCCTTGATCCCATTGCGTCACAGCGCCACCAACAGGCCTGGCATAGATTCACAGCAATTTCAGGCGTAGTGACTTCATTCATGTGGACGCAAACACTCACTGAGCCGTTTCTTTAAGCGTTTTGACTTTGTGTGGATCTAGCCTGAGACTGCCAATTGGTTCTCGTGGTTTTCCCATGAAGCATTGTTTAGTATTGCTCTACACAACAAGGTGTTTTGTTGTTCTGAAGTCAGTCCCGCCACTGATGCATGGCTCTCCTCATGTTGACGTGTGTTGACACTCTTGCTGTGTAAGCTCTGGCCCCATCAGACGGTCTGCCTGGGGTGTGTAGGTGAGTTTGTCATTAATGTCAAGAGAAATATTGCAACCTTGAAGAGATGCAAGCAGACAGGGCTTTAAAGGTAACGGCCTTCTGACCATAACAGTGCGGCATATGTGCATATTTTGGCAACAAAGGAGATATACATTTCTCTGTGTGATACAGTCAAATCAATGTGACCCCCGACAATAGCTGCAAACGCACAGACAGAAACAAAACATGGAGGTGGTGAGGGGGTAGGTGCTTGGATGGCGCTTCAGGGATATAAAACACATCGTCATGGCACGGACAATAACAAGCCCACAGAAGATGGCTGGATGCTCATGGAGTCACAAGCAGGTGCGGGGAGCATTTACCTTTCGGGGGACGAGGATTTCTCCGAGTTCACGGACATGAGCGGTGCCTGTGAGCCGCTCTCTGGCCCGGGGACCACAGGGGACGGCGGCAAAACGGCGAGGGGTATAGTGGGTGCTGCTTGCTTGGGGTGACTTTTGTGTCTACCCTTTCAATCTGCTGTGTCTGGGCAGAGGCAGGAGAGCGTTACAAGCACCCCACCTCTTCCCCTTCCTCTCCTTGTCCGCAGCTGAAACGAAAGGATGGAGGACACAGGTTTGCCCTAAAATATCCAACGCAAGGTCTATTTTTTGAGCCTGCTGGGGTGTGTGGATTAGCTTGTAGTAGCAGCAGCAGCAGTCCGACAGTCAGGTGCCCCTCCTCATGTCCTATCCTCCCTCCCTTTCCTTCCTTCTCCTTCACCTTGCGTCTCTGTCACTTTCACTCCAGCCTCCTCGTGGGGGCCTTCTCCTGGCTTCTGTCCTTTCCTCGGCAGTGCGTGATCCCTGACGATGGTATGGTCCCAAAAGAACTTGTTCTCCGACGTCTCTTGTCTGTAGAAGTACGTCCACTATAGCTCTCTCCCTGCTTGGCTCTGACAGGCCTTCTGCAGCTCTGCACAACAACAGAGCCCAGAGCAGGTCGGACTGTTCCACTGTCAGCAGAAACCCAGGGGTGGTGGCAAGCTTCACAGGCAGGAAAGCGGATGCCTTTCTCCTTTGACTCATTCTCTCCTCCCCCTTTCGTGCTTTAGTGAGCCCCTCCCCTCGGCTCTCTCCATCCCTCTGCCTCTCTCTCCTTCTCCCAATTGCCTTATTACGACATCCTGTATCTCGGGGCAACGCCGCACAGATCTGCTTCCCCCCTTTTTCTGCTCGACGTAGCATCATGGTTTCTCGTCTTGTTGTAACCTAATTTTGTGAACCAGTTTGAGAGTTTTTTATAGATTGATACAGGTTATGCATGTGCAGAAGGAGGTAGATGTTGAGGTCAAGTTAACTAGAAGAATGCATGATAGTTTTTATGTGAGAGCAAATTATAACACGAAATTATGAAAGTTGAGAGCTGGGGGTTGTGCCAATATGAATCTTTAAGTAATTTGTGGTCACAAGCCAGTGCAGTACATTAGACACAAAAAGTGGATGTCATTTGTCAAATCCAACACTAATTGCAATACTTTGGCTTTCAAATATCTTCTGATACCTGATAAGAACAAATCCCAGTGAAGGGAATGAAAATAGCATTAATTTCCTTCAAATCACAGCTCATTACATATGGCCTCATGTGTTTTTTAAACGGCGGTTTGTACAGCATGTAACAACAGAAAAACGTTGTCAGAGTAAAAATTTAAATCTCCAGTCACTCTGTCCACAAAGGGCTGGTGTGGCTGCAGGTTTTTATTCCAACCAAGCAGGAGCACACAAGAGTCTGAATACCCCTGTTCTATGACACTCTGGATTATTCAGCCATACTTTTAGAATATTTTAATAAAAGACCCATTATTATCTGGTCCGACACAATGTTCCCTATTACCACCATTATCTATAATCCATAATCATGACGATATAAATTGAAAGGCAGCCTTCAATAGTAGAATATTCAGAGGACACCGTTTTGGTTCCGGCAGCGCCATAAGCCTGCGGTGTATTAATGCTGGTAGGATCGGTGTGATTGTCACTACACTCGTCTGTGTTGTCTCGACTCACTTTTGGGCAGATGGGAGAGCTTCTACATGAGTAAACTGCACAGGACGTAGCCACGGGGAGAGTGGCAATGGGGGTCGTCTCATCTCTCCATCTGACCTCAATATTCCGGCGTTGGAGTATGCTGGCGCGTCTCTATGTGACGCTGTGTGTGTAAGAACGCACAGTGGGTCGCACGTAGGGCACACTGAGGTTAAAGTTATTGATCAGAAAACACACACGGTCAGTACAGAAATATATTTGAGTTATACGTTGGAAGGCCAGGAATACGCGCAGCCAATAAGAATCAATTGTGCTATTTGATGTCATTTCACTTAGTATTTTGTTTGTATGGAGTCCAGGACCCTCCAGTAAGAAGAGAGCAGCTTCAGTGTAGGACTGATGCACCCTCTGTGAGAAGGAGAGGTTTTGCTTTCTTTCCTGCACCATGTCAGTATGTACAATGAACAATGAACACTAAAGACTCTGTACATTTAATTCCCTTTTGTAATAATGTGGATTGCTGTGGTAATTGTATGTGCAATACTGTACCGCGAAGGGCTATATTTGGTGCAGGGCTTCCAATGCATGAGTCATAGACATCACTGCACTAGTCTGAAACCCTCTAGTCTAGTTCTAATGATCTACTGTATTCACTCTTAATGATACATTTCCATAGTCTCATCCAGTGGTCCCTCGTGCATCTCTGGGATTATGTTCTAAAAATAACCCGCAATAAGTGAAATCCATGAAGTAGCAGCTCTATGTATTAAGACTGTAAAACCCTCACACACACTTTAAACGCTTTTCTAACCACTCTTGACGCTGAACTGGACTGAGGCTGAGGGCTACGGGAAGACCGCGGTAGTCCTCTGAACGAATCACCACGGTGCACAAAAGCTGCAAATGTTTTCTTCTGACTTTAAATAAAGGTAACGGTCATGTTTTACTAGTGTCATACACAGACATTTCTCCACTGTGGGATGAATAAAGATGATCTTATCTTGAATGTGTGACAACTATTTCAATAATGGGATTCATTGATATTTTTCAAGTTATTGGAACTCTGCCTTTATCGCAATACGCCCAGTGTAGTGCCTCCTCTTCAGTGCGTTTATGTGAACAGCAGAGACACAAGGAAGAGCAGGGAAATACACAGGACCTGTTTGTATGTGATTAGGGCTGTTGTTTATGGACTTATTATTCTGACTTTTGAGTTTAAAGCAGCAGTAAGCAATTTTTGGGTGTTAATATACGTCTTAAATATTGATATATTCCAATAGCCATCACTTATATAGAGTGTTTGTACCTAAACACAGATCTCTCAGTCCTTCCAGTCTTCTCCCACCTATATGATAAAAAAACCTCACATCCTATGCGCTTATCCAATGACGAGAGAGCACGCCTTATAAGGGGTTTCTCCCGTGTGTGCACGCGCACTCTTCAAAACAAACATGGCGGAGAAGGAAAAGCCGCCTCCAGCGCTGCTGCAGACTAAATACCATGGCATGGATCTATTAAATACAGGCAAAACGCCAGAAACAGAGGAACGACAAAAAGTAGGAGCAACATGGTGACCAGCTGCATTCATGTTGGCGACCTCTAGCTCCGTGGATTCCTCTCTCCGACTGAACAGGTGAGCATTTTACTCAGTAGTGGCAGTAGTAGTTGTATTATTTATACATATTGTTGCCTGAGACTGTAATGCGAGTTTTCACCAAGTTAGCTAGTTAAAAATACCCAGCTGTTGTAGAAATACGGCCGCATTTTGTGGCAATAACTGCGCATTACCTTGGCTTAGCTTTGAGAAACAACAACAGACAACACAACATCGAAGCCTTAGCCCAGCCTCAGCCATCCATAAACTCCGGTCAATTATTAGTTCCCCACATGTACAAAATTAAATGACCATATCACCAGAGTTCCCCCGTGAAGTGGTGTTAGCATTAGCGTTCGCTGTTAGCATTAGCGTTCGCTGTTAGCATTAGCGTTCGCTGTTAGCATTAGCGTTCGCTGTTAGCATTAGCGTTAGCTGTTAGCATTAGCTGTCTGTAGTTGTGAATATGATGTGGCTGCTACGATCACTTCTGATCTGTATGAATCGTTTGTTTTTGCCAATAAGCATAGTTGCTTGCACTATATATATATATATATGTAGGTCTGCATTTCATTCTTCAATGAGTAAGTTTTGCAACTTGCACTCTGTATTAGTTTTATTGTTATAAAAACAATATCTCTTTACCTCAAATCTAACTTCCGTGACCACTACATACATTTTTATTATTATGTATTGAGAATAAGTAAGAAAAGTCTTGCTGACTACTACCAAATAAATTATGAGCATGATATAATATAGACATTGTAATAATTTACATGTCTTCATTGCATTCTTTTCTCTGTATCTTTTCCAGTATGGCCTAAATCAATTGGAATGAGGTCTTCAATGTACAAGAGTTCAAAAGCCTCCATAATGCAAGTTAAATAACTATTAAAAAAAAAACAATGCCATAACGACTAGATACTTTTCTGCTGACCTCTTCTTTCTCTAGTATTGACTGGGAAGACAAGACTTTGCTTCCATAATTAGAAGATCGGCCATTGTCATCTCCTGAGGAAGACTTTACACCCCACATTTGTCATGTAGGTTGTTGTGAATGCATATATGGGACGCAGTGATTATGATAATGATGTTGTGATGTGTGTGTCGTTCATCCCTACAGTTGTGTTGCTGCCCTGAGGTCCAAAATGAATATCGATCATGTTCCAGGAGTCAGTGTTGAACAAAACTGTCGCTGAGTTTCTTCAACAATCAAGAGGAGTGAGATAATCACTCGACTCCCAAAACAGCCGATGTAAGTGTCTTTCTCTCACAATGCACAGTCTCTCACAGTCCAAATAAACATGTTCAAGGATCCTGTGGATCAGGGGCCACTCCTGGTGATCAATAAATACTGATGTTGTTGATGATGAATATATCAAAGTCATATTTGAGTAGATAAAACTGATGTCTCTTCTATTATGTTTCAAAGGAAAATCTCTGCCAGAGGAAGACTCCAGTTCCTTCAACCTGGGCCCCTGAAGCGTGGCTGTGTGTGCGTGTGGCTGTGTGTGCGTGTGGCTGTGTGTGCTTGTGTGTGACTGTGTGTGCTTGTGACTGTGTGTGCTTGTGACTGTGTGTGCTTGTGACTGTGTGTGCTTGTGACTGTGTGTGCTTGTGACTGTGTGTGCTTGTGGCTGCTTATGAATTATTTTGAGGAAATGTGTTCAAACAAGCTACAACATAAAGATTAACATTTTGTTAGATATCTCTGATAGTGTTCGCTGCAGCAGCGATGGATAAGGACCTGGATAATAACAGTGTTATTCATTTGAGCAAAAAGTGATAACACAAACGTTGCCTTACCATCACTTGTAATTATTTGTCTTAGTAGGGACATTGTGTATATTTTTCCGGCTATAACTTCAAATCTTCTTTTACATAATAAAGTTTCTTAGACTCGTTACAGACTGTATTTGTTTTCCTACTATAAAACAAAGCACATTGAAAGAGGTGAATGTATTTTTTTTTATTTTGAAATAGTACAACTACAAACATATTTCAGAACTGCAGAGTGGACGTGCACCATGGGGGCCGGACGTGCACCATGGGGGCCGCTGAGGACGTGCACCATGGGGGCCGCTGAGGAAAGCACGTTTTCAATGTCTGTTGGCACCTTTCACAGACGCATCAGGGAAAGGATCTGGTCATCAGCTTCTCTGGACAGAGGGCGTTCAGTGCTTCCTGAAAGAACCGTTATGACAAATGACTTTATATATTGTTACTTGTAGCTTTTCTTTCAAAGTGGTTTCCTTACAGTGTAATAGTGTAACGTAATTAGTTATGACAGTACTTTTGCGTTTCGGACAAGCTTTACTGGAATTGTTTTTCAGTCCCACATCTCACTGTACAGCTCTGATACACTTTGATTTTGTCTTCATTCTCTGAACAATAAGCACATAATACAGATGTTGATTACATCGATAAATGTATCTTTATTTTGTGACAT